GTCAGGAAAATAAAGTCCTTGTTCCAGTGATCGCATCTTCTTCTTCTGAACAAGGTATGTTGGTGAAACGGGCAGACGCATTGGCACAAGGCTGCATGAGCATCAACAGGCAATCAACAAGGATAAGGTATCTATGATCTATGACTACGCACAGCAGAAGAACTACGTTCTGGCCTTTGACAAAGTAAGCATAATAGCCGGAGCCAATGATAAGGTGATCAGATTTCTGCTGGAAAATTGGTCTTCGACTGGCACACTAAACAGAGCCATAGACCTTAATCCCCCCTACCGGGCGTTGCGCACACGGTTCAAGTTAGTTCTAACAAGGCCAACAGGAAGGCAAAGCAAACTCCAACATGGACTATACCTGGAGTCAGAAAAAAATTGGGAAAGAGCCGGCCAGGAACCACTTGAAAGTGTGGAATACTACGTAATTGCCGCGTCCACGAGGTTAACATGAGCTCACGTGGGCAGCAAAAACGGATTAGTTCGCTGGTCGACGAGGGGCAGGCCAATCAGTACTCTGACTAACGACGGCCGAAAAAGGGGCAAAGGTCACACGAGGCCACCAGTGGTCAAACTCACGGACAGTTCGCAGCTAACAGGGAGGTCAACGGTTGTACGTCGAGCACGGATATAATATCAGACATACGGCAAGGCTGAAACAGCCCCGGCAAACAGAGACAATCACCTAGTCACTCTGATGATGAAACCGAGCTAGTGTACTAAACGTCAGTCTTAAGATAATTCGGTCCATGTCCTCGTACCTTCTTCTTCTTTGGGAAATGGTGAAAACAATCATCAAGATGCCCATCGGGAATGGAAGAACTGGAAACTCTCACTTGAAAACATTCATGTATACTTCGAATCACACGCATTATTGAGGTGTGCAGAACCCCAGAGTTATCTAGCAGCATGACCTGTACTCACACAAGATCATGGTTGATTGTAGTGTAACCTCCAACAGGATAAGTTAAGCCTGCCTTTTTTGGACATGTTAGGAGGGCC